ATCAAGTACATTCTGAAGTGACCCTATGAAGCAGTGCAGAACTGCCTGAAGGGCTTTCTTGACTGGAATCTTTATCAATAAAGATAGCCAGACCTTTCTCCTATGGAGCCGCTGCGTGGGTGCAAACCTCTAACCTTTCAGTTAGCAGCAGTCAGTGCTAAACTGTTGAGCCACCAGGGACTGACTTGACAGCAGTTAGCAACAGGAAGACACCAGCATGGTTTCTCAACAGAGGGCTCAAAACTTGTTCTCTGCTGAGAAACCATGGTGGTGCTTAACAATATCAGTTGCCAGACAGTCTTCCTCCAACACATGGAAAATCCCAGGCTGCTCTCTCAAGTCCTCTTCCTGACTCCAATCAACCTCTGCTGGCCAGCAAACCGTTCTCTCCTCCATCTTTCTCGCTTCAACCTGCACATTGCTCCCCCTCTTCCTTCCAGTCTTTATTTTCCCCTGCTCTAGTCAGCAGATATGGCAGGGTTAGCCTTTTTATGGCTGATCTGAAAGATGAGAAAGGGAGAAGGGCGTTTCCTACTTTCTCCTTAAAGCCAATCATATTCCTAGCTAGGAGGAGCTCTGGTAGCATAGTGGTTATTATTGGGCTGCGAACACTAAGGTCAGCAGTTTTAAACTACCAGCTGTTCCGCAGGAGAAAGATGAGGCTTTCTGCTCCCATAAAGATTTACAGCCTCGGAAACCCTATACAGGGTCACTATGAGTCGGAACCGAATCCACGGCACATAACAACAACATTCCTAGCTAGAAGTGAGATTTTGCTGCCTGACGCTAGAAGCTTGCAAAATGGACAGCAATGCCCTGTGACAAGCTGAAGTCTGGACATCATGTTCATTATTAAAATAAAAACACAAAACTATTGCCATGGAATAGACTGCTGACTTGTGGAGATCCTGTGTGTGTCAGAGTAGACCTGTGTTCCAGAGTTTTCAATAGCTGATTTTTGGAAACAGATTTCCAGACCTTTCTCCTGTGGTGCCTCAAGGGGACTAGAATCCCTAACCTTTCTGTCAGCAGTTTTCACTCTCCAAGGCGGCTCCTGTTCATTATTGCCCACTGTGTCAATTCTAACACCTGGTGACCCTATAGTAGAGGGGTCACATAGGGTTTCCAAGGCTGTAATTGTTACTGAAGCAGACTGCCACATCTTTCTCCTGCATAGTTACCGATGGGTTCAAACCTCTGACTTTTCAAGTCAGCAGTTGAGCGATTAGCCACTGTGCCACAAGGGCTCCTTTGTCCATTATTGTTGTTGGTAAGTGCCATCAAGTCTGTTCCGACTTATAGTGACCCTGTATAGGGTTTCCAAGGAGCAGCTGGTGGGTTCAACCCACTGATATTGTGGTTAGCAATCCAGTGCTTATCCTACAGCACCACACCAGGACTCCATGGAGAAGGTCTCAAAAGAGACACACAACACAGGTCCCACTCACTCATAGAACCTAGGCCACTGCACCCTCTGCTGTCCTGTTGTTGTCGTTGAGTGCCAACGAGTTGGTTCCGACCACAGCGATCTTGTATAGACTTTTCGAGGAGCAGCTGGTGGGTTTAAACTGCCAGCCTTGCCATTTAAACCCACCTTGCTGTCCAGTGCTTCATCCTAGAGTGGGACACCAGGCCTTCAATTTTGCTGTCCTGCCCTCCAGAAATCTCTTCTTGGGGGTTATTCTTTTCTTTGTCTATCTCATGAACACTCCCTTTACCACACAGCCTGGCCTCCTCTCCCTCAGGAAACCAAGACAGACTCTCTTCAATGTATTGAACACAATAGCTTGGAGGAGAGGTGTTGTGGGAACAAGGAAGTATTGGGCTGCTGCCAGATTCAAAAGAAGGAAATGGGGGGAACAAGTAGCTCAAAAACATGACCAAACAAGGCTTTGTTATAGTAGTTTTTCAATTTTTGAATGTTTGAAATGTTCCTTAAGAAAAAGGGTTTGTTTGTTTGTTTAAGAAAAGGAAAGGAGTGAGGGAAAAACAGAGGGAAGAAGAGATGAAGGGAGAAAGGAAGACAAAAATGAAAAACCAAAAACTGCAAAAGTCACCAACCAATCCTTCCTGGCTAGTCTAGGATAATGTCTCTGAGTGCCACCTGGTGGTGCCATGTAGAATTGTCATATTTAGAGAGTTGAAGAAAAAAAGATGCCTTCTCTCATCCTCAGTTTTTAATAGTTCATTCTTCACCTACCAGAAAAGAAAACAAGGTGTGATCACATCTTAAGATTGTCTGAGATTGCCTGTACTTCAATGTGTGTGTGTGTGTGGGGGGGGGGGGGGGGGGGCATGGAGAAGCTGGTTTAGTGAAAGATTTCTCCTTGCTTAGCAATGAAATCCTCCTCTCCAGAGCCATGATCCTCATCAAAGATTGGTTCCTCATTTGGAGTCTCAGTACCAGAAAACTTGAGCTGGTCATGACTGTGCCTGAGCCTCCCTTCCCGCATCACCCCACCCCTCTGTCCAACTGAGACAATGACTCTGCCTTCCCCCTGCCATGAATCCAAATTAAGGAAGTGAGCCTGGGTGTACTTTGAAAAGAACAGATCACTCTACAAATGCAAGATCATGGTGACAGTAGAATCAGCTTTAGAAAAAGTTGAAGTGAGTTCAATGTATGGACGGCAATATTTCTTCTTTGGTCCAGATAGAAACTGTATTCTACCTTTTGCATAGATAGACACAGCCCATGGAGGACTTCAGTCCATATCTACTCATATCCACACAAACAGCCAGTGCATGACTTTATACAGTTCCAGGGTGAGGTCACTTGGATAGAAACTACAATATAACCAGTTGCTATCAAGTTGATTCCAACTCATGGTGACTGCAAATGTGTCAGAGTAGGGCGGTGCTCTGAAGGGTTTTCAGTAGCTGAATTTTTGAAGTACATCACCAAGGCCTTCTTCTGAGTGCTTCTGGTTGGACTTGAATCATCAACTTTTCAGTTAGCAGCTGAGCATGTTAGCATCACCCAGAGACTCTAGAAACTATAATAAACCTACTACTCAACCTGCTGTTGCTGAATCAATTCCGACTCATAGTGCCTTTAGGAGTTGAACTACAGACAAGAGTAGAACTATCCCACAGGGTATCCAAAGCAATAAATCATTATAGAAGCTGACTTTCTTTCTCCTATCAAGCAGCTGCTGGGTTCAAACCATCCACCTTTTCAATTAGCAGCCAACTACTTATCCCCTATTTTTCTTTGACCCTCCACCTTACCAAACATGATATCCTTCTCCAGCGACTGGTCCCCCCTGACAATATGTCCGAAGTATGAGAGAGAAGTTTGGCCATCTTGGCCTCCAAGGAGCACTCAGGCTGCACTTCTTCCAAAACTGATCTATTGGTTCTTTTGGCAGCCCATGGCACTTTCAACATTAGAGGAAAACCCCCAATGAGATGGATTGGCCAAGTGGCAGCATCGATGGACTCAAGCATGGCAAGAGTAGTGAGGTTGGCCCAGGATTGGGCAGTGTTTCGTTCTGCTGTGCATAATATTGCTATGAGTCAGTACCGACTCGATGGCACCTAACAATAACAACAACAACAACTTACCCCCTGCCCCACCAGGACTCCTTTAGAAATCACAATTTGTTGTTGTTATTAAGTGCTGTCAGTTCCAACTCATAGCGACCCTGTATAGGGTTTTCAAGGCTTTAAATCTGCACACGAGCAGAAAGCCTCATCTTTCTCCTGCGGAGAAGCTGGCTGGTTCTAATGGTGGGCCCTCTTGGTTTGCTGTCCAGTGTTTATTGTATGGAGCAACCATGCTCCAAGAAACGATGATAAGTACTTTGAAATGGTAGGTTCCATTTCCCAACTTGTTTCTTCTTTCATTTATATTTCACTTCCCTTCCTTAAAGTGAAATCACCAGAGAGTTGGTAAGTGCTCTTTCACACTAAATGAACAGCAATTGAACATTTCTTATCTGATTGTTATATCACTGGCTTTAGTAGTTGGTGTGTGAGTTTGAATAACAGTGGTATTAACTGGTCTTCCTATTACCCTATCACAGACAGCACTATACTTTGATGACGTATTCAATGCCAGTTTTCTTCAATTTGTCATTCCCGGCATAGAAAACCACATGATTGTCAGATTCAAAATGGCCAAGACCAGTCCATTTCTGTTCATTAATGCTGGTGTATAGGCATTCCAGTTCATTTTTGACAACTTCCAATTTTCGTAGATTCATACTTCATACATTCCATGTTCTGATTATTAAAGGATGTTTACAGCTATTTCTCCTCATTTTGAGTTGTGCCTCATCAGCAAACAAGGATCCCCAAAGCTTACTTATTTATTCAACATCTATCTACTGGGCACCTTCTATGTGCCAGGCACGGTTCTAGGGGCTGGGGATACAACAGAAAATAATGCAGACAAAAATCTCAGCTCTCATAAAGTTTATATTCTAATGGGATCTGGCTTTAATTATAATCATTCAGTAGAGTTGATTATAATTCAAGTTATTACATAAATGTTGATCCACCAAGTAAGTATTCATTTCCTCAGCCTTGCCACAAGAGGGTTCATTAGATTTTTCTGTGTTGCTTGACAAGGTTCAAATAATATTTGGGAATGCCAAACTTTGTCACAAATGGCAAAATCAATGAATCCTTCTTTCTCTTCCCCATATTGTTTAGAATACGTGCAAAATTTTAAATCATCTCTTTTCATCATGTGCTTAGAAAGTATAACTCCCTTTTCTTTTATGTCTTTCTTTCCTCTAGGCTACAGACAGGATCTGAATATAAAATTGTAGACACATTCAGTTGTCACAGATATGGTTAGGATTTGATTGATGACTAGTACATCCCAGCTAGTGCTGCCAAAGAAAGACATTTTTCCTAACCGCTCCAGTGCCCTAGAGGTCCAAAGACATTGGGAAAGAACATGCAACCAGCAGACAGAAAATGGCAACCACCGAAGCGTTAAGGGGGTCCCTTCCAGGCATTTTCATCGCTGTCCCAAGTTTTTCTCCATGATGGCCTGTAACAGCACTTCCATTGAGACTTATGAATACTTTCTGCAGAACACGAGCAATGTATCCGACTCTGGGCTGACCACACTGTCTGCCCCCCTCAGGATCTCCTTGGCGATAGTGATGCTGCTGATGATGGCGGTGGGGTTCCTAGGCAACACGGTCGTCTGCATCATCGTGTACCGGAGGCCAGCCATGCGCTCCGCCATCAACCTGCTGCTGGCCACGCTGGCCTTCTCGGACATGATGCTGTCCTTGTGCTGCATGCCCTTCGCTGCAGTTACCCTCATCACTGTCAACTGGCACTTCGGGGACTACTTCTGCAGACTCTCCGCCACGCTGTACTGGTTTTTCGTCCTGGAGGGCGTGGCCATCCTGCTCATTATCAGTGTGGACCGCTTTCTCATCATCGTCCAGCGCCAAGACAGGCTGAATCCACGGAGGGCCAAGGTGATCATTGCCGTGTCCTGGGCACTGTCCTTCTGTATCTCCATGCCCTCCCTCGTGGGCGGGACGTGGGTGGAAGTGCCCACGCGGGCCCCTCAGTGTGTGCTGGGTTACACCGAGCTCCCGGCTGAGCGCGCCTACGTGGTGACACTCATGGTGGTGGTGTTCTTCGTGCCCTTCGGCGTCATGCTCTGTTCCTACATGTGCATCCTCAACACTGTGCGGAAGAACGCCTCACGTGTGCACAACCAGTCCGACAGTCTGGGCCTGAGACAGCTCTCCAGGGCCGGCCTGCGGAGGCTCCAACGGCAACACCAGGTCAGCGTGGACCTGAGCTTCAAGACCAAAGCCTTCACCACCATCCTCATCCTCTTTGTGGGTTTCTCCCTCTGCTGGCTGCCCCACTCCGTCTACAGCCTCCTGTCGGTGTTCAGCCCGCAGTTCTACTACAGTTCCTCTTTCTACACCACCAGCACCTGTGTTCTGTGGCTCAGTTACCTCAAGTCTGTCTTCAACCCCATTGTCTACTGCTGGAGAATCAAAAAATTCCGCGAGGCCTGCATCGAGTTGCTACCGCAAACTTTCCAAATCCTTCCCAAAGTGCCTGAGCGGATCCGCCGGAGAATCCAGCCGAGCACCGTATACGTGTGCAATGAGAACCAATCTACTGTTTAAAGGCCAGGAGAGGAGGAGCAAGCAGAGGGGATGAGAATGGCTGACGGGCACTAGCAGGCATCCATCTGCCCATGTGGTTGGCGGCCTCGAACCCTAGTCAGCATTTTGTGGAGACTGTTTAAGGCACTCACTGCTTGTCAGGTGCGCTCTGGCTCCCAAATGTTGGCAAGATGATGACTTCTGTGTCATGTTGCAGAAGAGTAATGTGTGTGGAAGCTGGATGGGGTTTAAAGCCAAAGGTAGGGAGGTGGAGAGGAGAGGGAGCTGGACATCCCATTGGTAAGCACAAGTGAAAACAGCTCAGTTCTGCAGTCCTAGCTCCCTCTGTGGAGACCCAGGGTTAAGAACTCAACCACTAGCCAAAAGGTTGGCAGTTCGAACCCACCCAGGAGCACCTCAGGAGACAGGCCTAGCTATCTGCCTCTGAAAGGTCACAGCCTTGAAAACCCTCTGCAGCGATTCTGCTCTGCACACGTGGGGCTGCCGTGAGTCAGAACTGGCTCAGTGGCAGCTGGCAGCTCCCTCTGCGGCCCTTGAAAAGCCCCATGGTGCCATTTTCTGATTCACAAAATTCATATGGGTATCATCCTAATGATTATCACTAAGTTTATTCGAAGCTATTTCCGTTGTCTGGCGAATGGGGAAAACATGCAAGGTTCTTTACATGGACCACAATGTGCATTTCTAACAATGCTAAATCATTCTTTCTATATACCAAAACCACACTGAGAAGCAGCGTGAGATGCTGCACTTTTCAGTTCCTCAGCCCAATGTGGCCTGTGGGAGCCCTCAGTGTCTCAAAGCCCAGAAAATGTTCTGGGTGGTTCAGTTGAAATGAGAAGCTCACCAGGCCCATTTCTCATTTGTGCTACCTGAGTACTCATACATGTGCCCCTCCTACCTGGTCCAGGTTCCTCAGCTTCCTGTCTATCTCATGCCCCTGTGCCCTGAAGTCTCACTCCTCCCTGTCTGCTGTGAGAGAAGTTCCTGAGTGGCACACAAAGCTTGTGTTCGAGGTTAGCAGTTCAAACCCACCCATCAACACTCAGAAGAAAGCCCTGCCAATCTTCTTCTGTAAAGACTACAGGCAAGAAAACCCTATGGAGCAGTTCTACTCTGTAACACATAGGGTTGCCATGAGTTGGCATCAATTCAGTGACATCGAGTTTTGTGTTTGTGTGTGTGTACTGGCTGTGACATGGTAGACTGGCCTTCTCTCTCTCCCTCCACTTTCCCATGACTCCCTAAGTTTCCATTCTAGCTGTTTCTGGTGTGCTGAAACAACCCACCTTCTCCCGTAGTTCATCTCTTCAACATGTATAGCAATTTCCTTTTTTCAGAAATGGTTGGTCACTGTGCTTTGTTCACATGTTCCCTCCCAAAACTCTGGGGCTCTGCAGTCTTTGTGAGTCACAAAGCTACCTTTAGCACTAGAACAGTGTCAAATCAAAACCAAGCCCCTGGCCATCGATTTGATAACCACCAACACATAGCAAATCGGCTTAGGGTTTCCGAGGCAGTAAGTATTTACAGGAGTCCACAGCCTCATCTTTCTCCAACAGAGTGGCTGGGTTTGAACTGCCAATGTTTTGGTTAACAGCAGTTCCATGCTTATCCTACAGCACCCCTAGGGATCCTTTAGAACAGTGCAAGTTGTTGTTGTTTGTTGTTAAGTGCCATCAAGTCAGTTCCAACCCATAGTGACCCTGTATAGGGTTTCTGAGGAGTGGCTGGTGAACTTGAACTGCCGACCTTGTGGTTCAAACTGACTTTGCAGTCCAGTGCATTAACCCACAGCACCACACCAGGACTCCTAGAACAGTGCAAGAGGGCACAATAAATAAAACCTGTCAGTGGGCAGTTGCCCATTGATTTCTGTGTTCCTCCTACCTTATCCAGATCTGATCGAATCTGACTACTGCCATCTAGTCCACCTGCCTGGGATCTTGTGCCTCACAAGCCCAGGGATAAAGTCAGCCTAAACATTGTTTCTGCTTGTACCTTACATTTAGCTGCCTTGGCCATGACCACCTTCCACTACTGAGTTCAGGGCATAGGACTATGAGCTCACAAAACTTTTTTAAAGGACTCCTGGTGGTGTGGTGGATTAAGCATTGGGCTGCTAAGCTCTAGGTTGGCAGTTCAAACCCACTAGCAGCTCCATGGGAGAAAGGTGAGGCTGTCTGCTCTCATGAAGTCTTATAGTCTCGGAAACCCCACGGAGCAGTTCTACTCTATCCTATAGGGTCTCTATAAGTTGGAATTTACTCTGAAGGAGCTCTGGTAGCATAGTGGTTACGAATCAGGCTGCTAATCTCACGGTCAGCAGTTTGAAACTACTAGCTGTTCCATGGGAGAAAGAGGAGGCTTTCTGCTCCCGTAAAGATTTGCAGCCTCGGAAACCCTATGCAGGGTCACTATGAGCCGGAACCGACTCCACGGCACATAACAACAACAATAGCAACTGAGTAAGCTCTCTTTTTAAGGAAGCCTGGTGTTGAGAATGTTAGGTGCTCAGCTGCTAGCTGAAAGGTTGGTGGTTAGAGACCATCCAGCAGCTCTGCAGAAGAAAGACCTGGCAATTGTCCATAAAGATTGTTATTGTTGTTAAAGTGCCGTCGAATCGGTTCCCACCCATAATGGCCATGTATAGGGTTTCTGAGGAGACTACAGCCTATGAAATCCTATGGGACATTTCTATTCTGTCATATAGGGTCTTTAGGAGTTAAATTGACTCCACAACACCCAACAATAAATATCAAGCTGTTTTTAAACTTTAAGATCTTTTTTAAATGGGGAATTTAAGTAAAAATGAGAAAAACCTGATTCCAGGTCTTGCTCTATGAATAAGTGGTTATGTGACCTTGTTTGGTTTACTTCCTTCTCTGAGTTCCGATTTCTGTGTTTCTGAAGTGAGGAAGCAGATCTGGAGAGCTCCAATGTCCACTCCATCTCTCAAGCACGCGATTCTAGAGTTTGAATGCTTTCCGCTCTTTGTCACCAGATCCCCTACATTCCTTTTTTCACTCATGCAATGAATATCCATTAAGTGCCTCACAGATACAAGGCATTGTGGGGGAGAATGTGATGAATAAGGCAAGGGCCATGCCCAAATGCAGTTTATCTCACTCAGGACAATGGCCCCTCAAATTCAGCCTAAAATCACTGCAGCTACATTTTTGTTTCATTTCTCATTTGATTTCTAGGGTGGATTTAAGAGATCAGGAGTCCATCCTTGGGTGGTGCAAATGGTTAAGCTACTAACTGAAAGGCTGGAAGTTCAAGTCTACCTAGAGGCACCTCCAAAGAAAGGCCTGGCCATGTATATTTGAAAACCAGCCACTGAAAGCCCTCTGGAGTGCAGTTCTACTCTGAAACACATGAGTGGGATCACTGTGACTCAGAGCCTACTTGCTTGTTTGTTTGTTTGTTAGGTTTTCCTCATAGTAAGAAACCAGTTCCTCACACTCATGATTTCTTCTTTTGGTAGTCATGATGGAAGCAGGAGAGGAAAGGAGGTAAAGAGAAAAACAGACATTAATCTAGTCCCAGAGGAGGATTTATCCAGGAAATAACTGATACCTCTTCTCTCCAACTTCATGCTTTTTTTTTTTTTTTACCCCTAGATGAAAATGAGAGATACTGGGAGTTCATTTGTGCTTAAGTGGATTTAATCAATTTGTGTCCTGAGGAGCCCCCTCCCCACCCCACCCCACAGGCCAGGTCAGGGTTTGCCTTCAGTTCCCATGAGGCAGGGTTGCAGGTGCCCTCGGGTGCAGGGTAAGGTCTACTCAAGCCTCCAGTAGTGCCCAAGAGTGAAAGGTCCATGGTATCAATTTAGGGGAAGCTTCCCTCCAGTGGACATTTAAGAATGTTTTTCAAGAATCTTGAGAAAAAAGGAAATTACAATAACGAATGAATGAAGGTACCAAAATTTACATCAATCAGTGTTATATGGTGTATGTCTGTTGGTAATACATATGTTTCAAAGTAATAATTTTGTATATATTTTAAATAAAGTATTATTGCTCTTTCTGTGTACAAGACAATATTCTTGTCAAAATGAGTACCACAACCATGCAGAGTAAGTCCATCGCCTCCTAAGGAAAGTAATTCCAGGAAATCTAGAACCTGTAAATTACAAGTAGCACTCTAATAGCTAAAGAAGGCAGTAATAATAACAATACCAATAATAATAATTGGGTGACTGCATTTAAGCCATGTGAATCACAGCTTGAGTGCCCTTTCATCATGGCCCTGTGAACTCATTCTAGCCAACCATCTTTCCCCTTGGACTTTCATTCGGCTCGCCTTCATAAGGAGTCCTGGCGTGGCACTGTAGGATAAGCACTCGACTGCAAGGCTGGTTTGTTTGAACCACAAGGTTGGTGGTTCAAACTCACCAGCCACTCCTTGGAAACCCTAGACAGGATCGCTGTGAGTCGCAACTGACTCATCAGCACTGAACAACAACACCTTCAGAATTCCCTGACCTCAGTCAACCTTTAATGAACTTCAGTCTTTTAAGATCTTGCACAAATACCCAGTTCTGGCCTCATTCCCTGAGACTTACAGGGAATGCTTCATTTAAAAAAAAATTTGTTTTCATCTCTGCAGACCTGGAATTTACCCAAACCCCGGGCTCTGTTAGAAGCCCATGCCCACTTCACATGTCAATCATTTCTACAGGCAAGAGATGAGAAACCAGCCAACTTCGGTTATAACTGTCCCAGGAGACAAGACACCAGGGCAAATTGTTAGAATTCCTGAAATACAAAGTAAATGAACCACAAAATAAATCTCAGAAATGTCATCCTAATTCTGACTTCTCCTGAAAATCTACCACCTTTTAATATTGCTTCCTGTTGTTGGGGTGAAATAAAAGGATCTCTAGGTTGCTCTGGAGTCCTGGTGTGACACTGGGGGTCAGCAGTTCAAGCTCACCAGCCATTCCTTGGAAACCTTATACAGAATCACTCTGGGCCAGAACCGACTCAGTG